TCTCTCTCTCTCTCTCTCTCTCTCTCTCTCTCTCTCTCTCTCTCTCTCTGTGGATCAGTACTACAAATCTTGGGTGAGAAAGTAGGGAACACATTCTGGGGACACAGGACAGGGCACTGAGTGACCAGGAAGAGGAGCAGTAACTGCCCCTGAGGATTCAGAACCAAGACATAACGTGTAGGGTGACATATCAGCAATGCCTGGGTTCATTCCTCCCATGAGGCCTGGGCCCAAGTCCCAGAAAAGCAGTCTGAGGAAGAGCAGGTGCCCCTGAACCCTGCATGATCTCACTCACATCAGTGGCCCCATGACCAAGCCAGGCAGAGACCTTCTTCATGAGCTGTACTGATTCAAGAAAGGGAAGGCAGCTGCATAATCCCAAAGAGAACCAGAATTAATGGCACGGAATATTTCATTTCCAAGAACACGCCTGGCAGCGCTATAGGGCAGGGACTGCTGTGACAGGCAAGTGCTCGGAGTGGGCAGGACTGGAGGACACACCCCAGAGCTGCCATTTACTGTGTGCTCTTTGGAAACCACGTGAGACCAGGAGAGAATGAGAAGGAATCCAGGCTTTTGGAAATTTGCATTCACTGCTTAGCCACATGGGGCCTCAGTTTCCTCATTGGGCAAAGGTTGTCATGAGGCTGGAGAGGAGGGTGGACAGAAATGCTCTGGCTGACTGGTCCACATGGATTGTCACTATCACTGTGTGTGGGAGCCTGTGAGTCTCTGTACTCTACCTCCTTCCCTGTCCACAGGCATTGGGGCAGAATGGACGTCCTTCTGTCTAGTTTGGCTTCCTTCTTAACATGGCGTTTTGAGAGGTGATAGCAGCTGGGAGAACACAAATTCTCCTCCTTAATCTACTCCTAGGAGCCTTCCCTCTGAGGTCAGCTGGCTGCTGAAGCCTTTCTTCAGGAGTTCTAACAATGGGGCTGAATACCCCATTTCCCAAAACCACATGGGAATGGTGGGGTGGCTGAGCACAGGACAAGAGGGAGAAAAACTCCACAGAGCTTTTTTGGGAGGGGACAACGACAACAGAACTTTCAAATGTAACAGCTCTTGACTCATGGGACAGTGACAGAAAATGCATGTGGGGAATCATCTCACAACTAACATCTTGCTGCAGTCCAGGGTCACTACCGGATGTCCAAGCTTGTAGAGGAGGCACTTAAGTGCAGAGGGTTGAAACCATGGCTATTGGCTATTCCAGAAGTCACTGCTGTTTTTAATTTTTTCTTCCCTTCCCTTCTTTTCCCTTCTTCCTTCAATCTTTGCTTTTTTTTTTTTTTTTTTTTTTTTTTTTTTTTTTACAGCAGCTATCCCGGGACGTTTTACTTAGGACAGACGGGCAGACAGTGGCCCAACAGCTCTGGGCTTAGACTCAGCACAGGAGCCCTGGACACTTTTAAGAAGTTGAGCTGCATTG